GTGAAACACAATGACATTTCTGAAAGTAGTCAAGGTCATCATGGAAGTCCTCTGACTCAGTTACAATGCAGATCCAGCTTGCCATACGAGTCCTTCATTTTGTGCTCAAGCTATGCAGAAACCTTGTTTGTGCCCTTGAGCAAGACAACAGTTATCAGACTTAGATTAGTAAATGTTTTGGTTGTGAGCACAGTCCATGCCACAGAATCTGTGTCTGGACACAACTGTTTAAAATTATTTTAAGTGTTGTGGAAAGCAACCAGAAATACTCTTACCAGAATGGCCAGCTACAGGCAGCAGTTTTTGGCTGGCTCTAGTAGGTATGCATATGCAGGCATATTTGTTTGCGTAGGCCAAAGGGGAGGAGCACGTTGCAAAATATCTTAAGAACAAAAAATGACACTGAGCTAAAGTGGATTTTTAAACCTCTTGAGAATGAACAATATGCTTTTTTACTAAACCAGTTGCAGATAGAGATCAATGTACACAATTAAAAGAAAAAGACTAATCCTGCTGTAAGTTCACCTCAAATATTTCATGAATTTCACATGATCCACCCACTTTTTTCTTTACCTCTGCAATTACCATATCATCAGCAATAATTCTCTGTTGTTCAAGTGCCAGATACAACATGGCTGTCACATTCCTGAATGTGGCATATTTTGCTGCTCTGTTTGTTTGTTGTTTCAGAACAAGATTAAATTTTATTCACTTGCGCACCGCATTGAACTTTAACCCACTCTTCGTCATCTTCTTAATCAGTGATTTGTTTGTCTTGCTCTTTGGTTCTCAGTTTTTTATATTTAGTTTAAATTCTGCATGAAATCTATGTTATTCAAATCCCTTTTTGAACCATTTCTAGTTTTCCTCTCATCTTATTTGGAACTATCAATCACATGCATGAAGTATAGGAGCATCTGATTATTTTTTTTTCTGCCTTCTACTAGCTAGAAAATATGAAGTAGCTCCTTTCCAACTGCAACATGGGCATTTTCATGCAATATTTTAATTCACAAATAGTCTATCCCTTCAGCAACATAAAAGCTTCATGAGCACTGTTTCAAGATTTTGCTTCCATGGGAAAGTTAGTTTGGCTAGATAAAGCTGTAACTTTTCTGTGTGTGTGTGTGCACAGGACAACAGCTGATTATTCCAAATAAACTTATTTTGAGTCCATTTTACTTGAGAAGTTAATGTGCAATAGCTAAACAGGAAGAACTCCCCTTGTAGATGTCACTTCAAGCATTTGTAACTACAGAAGGCACTCATCTTGTCACAAAGTAGAACATTTAGCAAATGTGAGAGCAAAACCCTTATCAACATTTAATTATACAGTGTATAGCAAGTAGTCACTGATCAGGCTCCCAATGTGCTATGCTTTGTTCAAACACTGATTAGATTTTAAAAATCAGCTTTCAAAGAGCTTTTATTTTAAATAGAATTTTCTTTTAATGCTACCAACAAGGTGATCAATCACTGTACTTGTGCACATGTGCTGTCCCTGTGTTTACCAGGTCTTTCAGAGCTTTAGCATATCTAGCTTATTTCTCTAATGTAAAAAACCCCCTAAACTGGTATACTTTTATCATAGTTATATAAGCGACAATAAGGTATAGACTATTATGTAAATAAACATTTTTTGTCACTCCCCAGTGACAAATTAACTGATGGATATAAATGACAAATTGAGGGTGTTCTCTGTCTCAGTATCAACAGAGTCTAAAAACTGAAAGACAGAGAGTTTCTTCTGGTATTTCCAGAAATGTTTCTTGGGTATCAGATTAAAGGGTATAGGAAAATGCAATTCCTTTATTGGTTCTACCAAAAAAACCCAAGGGATTGAAAGACAGGCTGTCCTCGCACAATCTTTCCCCCATGGCAATTGAGTTAGCATCTCTATTAAAGCAATTGGCATTTTGGTACGTTTGGAAAAAAAACAAGAAAATATCTTAACTGCATCCTTGTTTTCCCATCCATGAATGAACTGATCTCAAAGGCTCTGTATCTGCAAAGACTCCACAAATGGACAGTGGAGCAATTTCAGCAAAATGCTGAGTATTGATACCAACAGGTTGCAAGATTTATTCTTATCTCAGGCAGGCTTTCAGAGGAACAGATTTCCATTTGCCCAAATTAAAACATTTACAGTTCTAGAAAGAGAGAATAAACACCTCTTTGGGATGTGTTGACATCACTGCAAATACAAGCACATGGTGCAAAATCACCCCATGAGCTATTATCTCTTTTTTAGTCACACTGATATAAGCAATGATTTTTAAACTATTGCCTGATCACTGAACTCAGTTTATTTATATACCTCAAAGTCTCTCTGGATCTCAGAAGCACAACCCTTCTTTTAATAAATATAATTCATTTGAGCAAGGAACTGCCAACAATTATTGCGTAAGACGATTTGTGACATTGGGTTTAATACAAGGCAGTGTTTCCTTGATGTGCATCACTATGGTTTAGCAATAAAATCATCAGGATGTCTCAGAGAATCGCTTAGGAATGATCACTTACTAGGAAAAACAGTAACCTGCAGTTAGTGAGGATGAGTTGGTCTAGTACACAGATCATTTGCCTTTACTTTAACCAAAGAAGTTTTACTTAAAAATCCTAATTCACTTGTGAGTCTTTGGGGGTCAAAATGGTGACCTGTTAGACAACATGAAAAAAAAAAAGCCCCACGGGGTCAGACCATGGTTCCATTTAGTCGAGTATTCTGTCTCTGGGAGTGGCAGGAGGAAATGCTTTTTAGGGAGAATATGTGAACTTGGCCTTTTTCTGTGCTCTGCTCCTCTCATACATCCCCAGTATCCCAAACTGTTAGATTAGGGATGGTGGAGAATACATCCCTTTAGTACCTCTTTATGAAATATAAATCTGTCTAATCCTTTTTTTGAACGAGCTGAACTCTCTGCCTTACAGTGTCCTGTGGCAGTTAAACTCCAAGAGTTCACTATTTGCTCTGTAAAGTACTTTCTTCTAGCTGTTAAAATCAGTTTCAAACATTAGAAGCTTATGCGCTATATATGTGCATATATATAATACTCAGTTCCATTTACAACTGTTCTTTCTGACAGACTCCTGTTCAATTTGCATGTTTGTATTCATCCAAGAGGACAGCATAGCCATAGTGGAAAAGCAGACAGAAATGCATATTTTGAGTTGTTTGTTCAATGCTAAAATATGGAAGATCTTAAGTGTTTGGGCAGGGAACTTGTGCTTATCCTGGTCAGAAGCTGGGAGCTCTGCTTCTTAAGTGATATAAAGCAGAATGGGTAGTGTGGGGTAATCTAGTGGAAGGAAAAGATGCAGCTGTAGCTCAAATTTGCTGGTTAAAAGGATTCTGGCCTTTCTGAATCAGTATCAGGGCTCTGTCTAATCTCCTTCCTCCACTCATGTTGCAACAGAGGGTTGCCTAAGTGAGCTATGTTGGCTCTTTGCCACTCAATATTTCCCTTCACCAGGGAAACCCCCAACTGGCTTTTAAAGCCAGCTTTATGGCCCCAGGATAGAGCCAAAGGTGGTACAAGGCGTCTCACCACCTTCTTCAAGAATTTGAAGGCAAAGATGGGGGAGGGTATCACAGGAGACAACCTAGGCAAGCTCATAGCAAGCTATTCCTTCCACTTTATTAGCTGATGCCTGTTGCCTAACGTACTGATCATTCCCGCTTTTAAATATATATTTCTTTTTTTATTTCAGGGGCACAGTCGCAAGAAATGATACAACTGTTTCGGACAGGCAAATAGGAAGCAGCGTGCAAACAGCCTTGTCTTCGACAACTGAAAAGCATATAAGCTTATAGGGGAAAAAAGCTTATAAAAGTGCTTTGTCTCTGCCATCCAGAAAGCATATCCCTCCAAGAGGAAGGTCTGTGATTCAGGGGGAAAATCCCATGACAAAGCCTTTAGCCCTAACAATTGCATGTAAGAGAGATTAAGTCATGGGAAACTGTTGTGAATAGAGGTGCATGAATAAAAAGAAACATGCAGCAACATGAAACATGCCTAGCTTCAGGTTTCACTGCGAACTTGAAACACGGACTGTGTTTACAGCATTGTTCACTGGGGTACATGCGTCTTTTGAGCAAGCAGCGGCCTAATTTCCAGGGACCTGGGGGGGGGGGCACACATGTGTGGCTTGGCTTTGCATCAAAAGCATTCAACATTAACCTTTTCTGGTACATCAACGTGAAAAGGAGAGGAAACACGGTACTCTCAAAGGATAATTCTCAAAAGGACTGCTTCTTCGGACTCGGGGTGGCTTGGGATCCTAGTCCCTGTACACCAGGTAGCGTCCGAGTGACCAGGAAGACTCGGTTTCAGGAACTTGAAGGGCAAAGCAAGGCAAACGGTAGCAGAACACTTAATCTGCTGTTTTGTTTTTTAGCGCTCGAGCCATTGTACGGCTGCTCAGCTGGAACCTTAACGTCTCTGCAGCTATCACCAGAGGCTGCGGCGGGGCAGGGCTGCAGTCAGTCAGGCAGGCCGGCTAGCTCGGACATGGCGGAGGCGGCGGCCCTGGCGGTGGTCCCGTCAGCGGCAGGAAAGATTGGGGTCAAAATTAGGGCTCAGCGCTCGAGCGAGGCAGTACGAGAGCCGGAACCGGCGGAGGACGGGACACAGGTGAGGACTGGCGGCGGCACCAGGTACCTCAGCCGGCGGGAGGGACAGCGAGCAGCCCACCCGCGGCGAGGCGCGCAGGCGCCAGGGGCCTTCTGGGAAATGTAGTTCTCCCTCCCGGAGGGGAGCCAATCGCCGCGCCGCTCCCCGCCTCACCCCGGCGGGGCCTGCTGGGAGATGTAGTTCTTCCCGCCCCTCCACCTCGGCAGCGGCCAATGGCGGCCGGGCCGGGAAAGACTACTCTTCCCAGCGTGCACCGCTCCGCCGCCGCTCCCCCGCCCGCCCAGCGCGGGGCGGGGCGGGCGGCTGTAAACAAACAGGGCGGCGGGCCATGGCGGCGGCCGTGGGTCGCGCTGGGGGGCTGTGAGTGCTGGTGTCCGCCGGGGCGGGCGGCTTCGGTGCGCTCCCCGTACAGGGGCTGCGGGGCCGGGGCTGGCGGCACACATGGATGACAGCAAGGTAAGAGGTCTGCGGGGCCCGCCCGGGGGCTGGGGCCCGTTTGGAGCTGAGGGGAGGCCGCCGGGTTCCAGGTCCAGGCGGTGTGCGGTGTAAACCCCCGCAAAGCCTCATCGCGGTTAATAGGCAGGGAACCGCGAGCGAGGCGAGTGCTCCCGCTGAAGGCTCTTGAGGTCAGCTTCTCTGACATCTTCTCTTGAAGGCCTCTGGTCGCTGCCGCAGGAAAGGGGACTCGTCCCCGTCCTTCTCCTCCCTTGCTGCAGGCAGCGGAGCACAGCGCTTGGAGGCCGCTTCTGGGCTTTCCTTAAAGCTCCGGGCGCGGGCCAAAGGCTGGATACGGACCGGGGGTCTGATCTGGTGCGGTGGATCGTGTCCCTGTAGCACCCGGAGTTTCTTAGATAAAGAGCGACTGTGGACAAATGGTAAGGTACTAGGGTAGGAGCTTGGGTTGCAGCCTTGTGATGGGCGCTGGTGGTTCGATTCTGCCTGCCTCTTGTTATGAGAACAGCACAGGGGCATCCCTGAAGGCACAGGGCTTCCATTTAAGCAGAGCGAAACATCGGAAGATGCATAAGGAACGCCTCTTATGCCTGCTTGCACCGGGCTGCACCTGCACAGCCAGCCTGAGGACTGAGAAGATAATTGCTGTGGCCACTCAGTGCAGCGTTTCACAACTGAAACTCCCAGTTGAGTTTGGGTATTCCAGCTCACCAGAGTGGTGGTTGTGGTAGTAGCCTGGGTTTTGTGCCAGACATAGCTTAAGTCCCCAGGAGCGAGCTAGGTGAAACCACACTTGAGGTAGGCTGTGAGGCAGCTGTCTTCTGACTTGTAATAAATTCTGAGCTTGGCTTGAGTATTAAAACTGGTCATATGGTAGTTACATGCCTGTGGTACCTTATGTGTTCTCAAGCTATCTGGTTTTCTTCCCACTTAAATTTTATTAAAACAAAATTGTACTGCCTCTGCTGATCTGCCTTAATTCAAAGGGGAAGAAAATACTGATGTAATTTCTTAGGGAATGAATCTAAGAAACTTAGAAGTGATCAATAATTTGGTAGTACAAAGGATCCCCAGAATGGATCATAAGTATATAAAAGTTTCATGACTGTTGGCCAATTTAATGTCTATACTATTTGGTTTTATTGAGGCCTTGTCTGAAAGCTGCAAAAGAAGGTGGGGGGAATCTGCATCACTGAAGTCAACCAAATGATCACGGCTGTGAGAACTGCATGAATGTTTATGTCATCAGGGCAGCAGTTTAGAAGATCCAGAAGATTTAGTTCTGGGGGCATATGTAGTTCATGAGTATTAGCCGATTTTTATTTCTGTTAAGAACATTGCATTTCTCCTGTATCAAAATTAACTTATTTGTAACAGATGACTTCCAGATTTTTCATTTAAAAGCCAATTTTTGATCTATTGTCGTGTCTTATGAAGTCCTGATAATCTGCCTTTTTCTTTTTTTTGAAACATTTTTGGATGCATTTACTAAATAAACTAAATCTTTTCACCCAATCAATAATACAAGATTTTGCTCTTTTTTTCCTTAGAAAAATTGATGTTGAGTGAAGAAAAAAAAAAAGCAGAGTGGAATATTTACCCTTCCTATCTTCAGTCTCAACTACAGTTTCCTAGTATGATGTTTTTATTTAAAACTTACTGCTGAGATACTTGCAAAGACAGTGGCATTGAAAAGGGTCCTGCCTAGAACTGCTGGGTGTAGCTGTACCCAAGGAAAACTTTGAAAATCTTTGTTACCTCAGCAGGTTTTTCATTAGGTAATAATCTCGGGCGATACTGGATCCTCATATCTTCTACTGAAAACAGCTGATACTAGTCAGTAAGTGCCTGCTGCTTTGAAAGGCTTTGCTGTAGTTGTTTTGAAGGGCTGTGGTTCCTTTTGGAACAAGTTCATGAGGCTGCAGGTTGCCCTAAGGGTTTGGTAGCTCCCATCAAGAGATCCCATTTGTCTTGGGAGGGTTTTTCCCATTGCATGTTGCTGTGCTGGGGTGAGGTGAGCACTATTTATACTTCATTTTTTAGCCAGTGTGGTCTTACAGCTTGAGCCAGCATGTCCTTGAAGTCTTCTAGAAGTTCCACTGAGTCACATTTTCCTCCTTATTGAGAGGGTTGGCCTGCCTGATCCGAGAGTCTTATCTGTGAATTGAACGAGTGTGACTGTGAAAGGAATTTCCCTGTAAAAACTGAGATAACTAAATTACGTTAGTAGTGAAGTAACCATTCTATAGCTGCATCTACCCAAGTTCAGTGTTTTCCTTCATCTACATGACATAAAGAATTTAGAATTGGGCTTGCAGGCTGTAATGTTTTCCCTAATTCTTAGTGCACTGTAATTTAGCCTTACCCGGTTTAAGAGAGCGTTAGAAAAATGGTTCATTGTAACATATTCCTCAAAATGGGAAGGAAATATTAAGGAATAAAGGGGGAGAGAGAGAATATCTGAACATCAGATCTAGAAAACTTTGATGTTCCGGTCTTAAAGGATGTTCTTATATTATTCACACAAAAAACCCCCACCCAAACCCAAAATGTGACCTGTTCTTCTTCCTACAGAGTTGCTCTGAAACTAGGGCTTGTTCAGATACTGGTCTCACTTCTCCTTGCTGTGGTTTGAGCTGTTGGTTGTGTAAGGGAAAGAATTTAGTTATGTAGTTGTTCCTTGGCTATTAGTCTGTTAAAGTAACACTTAGTACTCTGAAGTATTTAGACACAGGAAAAAGGAGAAATTCTGTCCCTGTGATTTCAGCCTTTATAGGTGAAATTACTTGGTTAGTTTACAAGACTACATATAGCTTATTGTATATTTATTATATACATTGGGAAGCAGGGGGTTTGCATTAGGGTAAGAAGTAATTTTCACATTTGTGTTAGCCGATAAATAACTCTTGTTGGCAACCGTTAAAATACAGTTCTACGTAGCTAACTGCAATCTTTTATATTACTTGTAGAAGTTTTTATAGGGAACACTCTGGCAATACTTAACATGAGTAATGGGTAGAAATGAGAAATAAAAAAAATTCTCAACATTAGATCGCTTTTGTTATTCCAGTGAAATAAAAAACAAGCAAACAAAAACCAAACCAGCCCCATCAACAAAAAAGGTTGGGATTGCCCTCTTTTATTAGAAATATTCTTTTCCTGTACAGAAAAGATAGCTTTAGTTTCCAAAAAGTTTAGATGAAATGTATTTTTCTTCAGAAATAAGCTGAACTGAGCCAAAACATGAATAAGTAGATTGAGATTTAAGAAAAAGTGCATTTTGGAGACAAATATTATATTTAAATGGTATTTTTTAATTTAAAATGGGATTTAAGAAAAAAGTATAATGCATCATTCTTAATCTTAGCACTGGAATGTAGTAATTGATTACTTTTTCAAATGGGAATGAAAATTTAGTGAAATGCACCCAACTGCTTTTTAAAAATGCCTTGCTAGTTCAGGGCAGCTACTTATGTGTTGGATATACAAAGGAAGGTAAAAAAGCAGGCTTAGGAAAACCTTTGTTACCCAGTTCTGGTGACAATAAAACAGTCCACTCTTCAGATTTTTAAAAGGGTAGATCTCAATCTCTTGCACTTGTTTTAATTCCAAGTTAGTTTCTCAACTTTGAACAGACTGGTTCTTGGTTGTGGCTTTCTTTTGCTTGTAAATAAATTGCTGTGTCCTCTACATGAAGCAGCAAATTCCTTTATACCTGTAAAAGAGGCTGTGGCTGTTGAAAGCCGTGTCTCCAGCTCAGATTGTTTGCTCTCCATCAAGCTGGTCCCAGGGCGTTGAGCAAGGACGCTGGTCTTGAGGTCTGACTATTTCTAAACTTCCACAAGCTTGCAATGTGTGAGGTGAAAGAAAAGCCTTTAAATAGGTAAGGCCAGAGTGTTTTCAGGTGTTAACTGAGTTTGAAAAAGCAAGCACTCAGATAAACTGTTCGTATGGGGCATTTATATTTACGGATCGAGCATCTGTCGATGTTTTGCTCTGGTGTTTGTTTGTACAGCCTTTCCATTTTGGTGGAGCATTTGGTGTTAGGGCAGGGGCGGGCCCACAGTAAAAGGCTGTGCACAGGATTTGCGCTGTTTTCCCCACTGCCTAACATCAAATACCCAGTCGCGTGTGATCCCAAGGGGAATTTTGCTGGAAGTCATCATTACGGGGATGCAGATGTCCCTTGGAGGGAGTGTGGGAGAAGGTCAGAAGTGAAATCTTGTGCTTAAAATAGAGAACTTGATGGGTCTTCATTCATGAGATGTCCTCTCACACATCTCTGCCTGTGACCCTTGCTGTTGTGGGTGACCAGGATCACAAAGAGAGGGGCGATCTCCCAGGCGATCCTGGAATCAACTCTGAGGAATGCTTTGAATGCCACAGCAGGGTCTGAGAGCTAATGTGGAGAGCAAAGCACAGGATCTCTTTTCATAATGACCTCAGTTGTTAAGGAGGTGGGTTACTATGTTTTCATCATTCAGGGCTTTTTCAGAGTATGCAGGTTTGCAGAGTGCTGGAGAAGTCTTCCACCCAGGGTCAGGTCTGAACATAAAGAGTTCTCATTGCTGCTTGCTTGGAAACACAAAACCTAAATAGCTTTGGTTATAATTTGAGACGGGCAATTTCAAATCATCAAATGTTTTAACAAGTTGCTGCTCAGCATTGCTCAGATGATGCATCTGCATTCTCACATTTGCAATGAGTGAGTAAAATGGATGAGCTTAAACTCTATAGAACAGCTAGAACAGTTTTATTTCACTGTTGCAGTGGGCTAGGAGGATATATGTGGTAGTGTTACTTGACCATCCCTGTTCCCTGTTTAGAGCTCTAACAGAGATAAGTTTAAAGAAATGCCTGGGTTCTGTTAGTGTAAACTGGGAGAATGTGCATGGTGTGTTGGTGGATGTGCTTCCAGGTGTGAGGCTTTAAGCCCTTCCTGGGGGGAAGAGGAGGGCTCTCACCTGTAAGGTGGCATCTGGGTGATTGCTATGCAGTCTTAA